GAAGAAGTACCAGTGGTTCGATGTTCCCGAGTATAAGTTAAACTTTGAACTGAAAGGCCGGTTTCGACTTGTAATTGAGGCAACGATAGTTTTCTTAACAATGATCGATCGCATTATCCGCGCTGTTTGGTGGATATTGGGCTTTGTTGAGAAAATTACCAATGCTCATAGCTAGTGGACAGTGCTAGTTTTAGATGATGATGTAATGTACAGTGAACAATTAGATGCTTAAAAATAAGTGCTTTGTATAAATCTAGTAACATACTAGCTTACCTCTCCATTTCCGTAGTGATTGAAAAATTTTGCTGATCGTTGCAACACGTTTGCATTGCTATTAAATCCAGGATATTACGCAATCTTAATTCAATTGCGTATTCGCTATTCAACGGCTGTGTATTCAAAAGCATTATGCTGCGAAACTGCCAGACGTACAAATAGTCCTTAAAACTTCCTGCAAATAAAAAGTACTTTAACCGTATAACGCATCATTTTCGAGTAAAAAATAACAATAGTGTTATTGCATTATGTCTCAAATCGTACATAAATTGCAAAAAACATCAATATTAATTTTCCAAAATTAAAACAAAAAATAAAATACACATTTTAAGTAAAATCCAGCGTCATCATGAAAATTAAGAGTTTTAAGAGTTCGCACACTTTTCCAAGAGTATGTTCGTGTCGGCACTAGCCTAGAGCGCCACTGGTGGATAAAAAATGTATAACATTTTATTAAAATACATATATGAAGTATGTGTATGTGTATTTTTTTTAAATAAAACGAGGACTCTTTAGTTTCACACGATGCATTTAAAGCCCCCAATTACTAAAACTTTTTATATCAAAAAACGCCAACATCACAGCTCAAAAGTTCGTCAGACCACTTTTGACTCAACCTGTACGATTAAATTAAGGTAGTGTTATATATAGAGCGCTTACCTAAGTGCTTCAGAAACGCCTCAGCTAGTGCTTCGAATAGTTGCATGTTCAGGAATGGAGTAAATCCAGTTTGGTCAGTTAACATGCACACGAATGTTTGTATGCACTGGGTGTCCACTGGGTTGGATTTCCCTGATAACAACAAATCATGGGTGAGCACAACGTGTTCCATAGGCACATGATCAAAATGATACAACAGTCTTCAGCTCAAAAGAGGACGATCTTGGTACAAAAACTAGCAGAACTTTTTCATTGGATCTGCATTTCGGTGATCGTGTCCTTTGAATCCCTCCGAATTTCTAGTTTTTCCTTTTTTTATCTTAAAGAACAGTTATTAAGCACAAATTAAGCACTTTTATCAAAAAAATTCCCGGATTGTTCATAAATTAAGCCAAAGGGAACCCAAATTTTAAGTTCGGAAAAGTAAAAGTTCGGAGGGGCTCAAAGGAGACGCTCACCCAGCATGAGCAAAATACCGCCGGATTGGCAAACGTGCGGATTATTACGCCCTGTATAGACAGATACATGTTTCAGTTAATTTTACCCCTGAGAACCTCTAAGACTGCTTTCTCAAATGGTGCATAGGCGTCCTGGGCCTTAATACAAGAAAGACAGGTTTCTATGGTTCCTGTGTAGCTCTTAACATTCGGCTCGGCATATTTACGTGCGCATCCAGTGCAAATGACACCATGATCCTTCTGGAATTGCCCAGAACCATTTTCAGTTGTTAGTCAAGACGTACAGCAACTTACTAGTATGTTCTGCCAGATACACATTGTGCACACACACGGACGAAAAAAGTAATAGATCGATTCCATTAACAGCCGCCTATCCGCTAAYGTTAAAGAGGGRCGAATCGGGTGATAGCAGACGGTAATCTCTTCATTTGCTGCGATGGTGGTTAGCGCTCTGACTAGCAACTGGTCACCGCAGCTCCTACAACGCAAGCACTGTGCAACGGAATGTAGTTATGGAAAACACCGAATCAAACATACACGATGATTGCATTTGGATAACAAGAATGATTGAGCAGGGCAATCGTTGGACAGATCGCCTTTCCAGTCACAATCCGAGATAGGAACGGCTTTTGTCTGATGTGGTGGTTCTTCAGATACGTACAATTCATCTGCGCTTGGAAATAATGCCTCACTAGCAGTCCGCCTACCAAAAAAACGCTCACTGTCTTATCGAAGTCATGAAAGAAGTTGGTGCGCGTCATCAGATAGACAACGGTTTTGGCCGATTTCTACAACAGATCATTAATTAGTCCAGCAATAAAACCCACATTCCTTCCTTAGTCGTATTGTTGCCGCTCACCCTTAAAACCTCATATACTTTCATTATGGGGATTCGATAAAAATGCGATATCAGTCTTTGGACGAAAAGATAATTATTGCCATATGAATTTCTGCCCCATTTTTTGCTTTTCTTCGGTAGCCGGCTCTGGAAGCCGTGCTGGGCTCCGTATAAAACCATCCGGAACGCAATGTAACTATAAAAAAATCATCCTAACTTTAATTTGTATTTCTCTGACGTAGGAAAACACGATATTTTCGTGTGTTGCATTCAAGCTCGCTCAATTTGTTTAAATTTCAAAAGCTGCATCATAACTAAAGCACACAACAGGAAAAACAGGTAATTTAATTAAATCTTTCTCTACTTGTCCCGCGCTTAAGTAGTTGGAACACAAAAATTTCATACCGACGAGGGTTGTTATATATAAGAACCAGCGAAACAGCAGGGTGCGTCTGCTGTATTTTCCTCAATCTCCGCAAATAACTATGAAAAAAAAACATTTGGAAATTCGGCCTGGTTTTTTCAGATTCAGCTTTAGAATAAGATGGTGCAAAAATAGCAACCCGCAGAAAAACGTGTCCAACTTCCGGACTTAATAGGCATAATTCCGGACTAACGCAAAGCAACTTTTCATCATATCGAAACATTTCCACCTCAGATACACCTAAACCCGCCAAAAAATGCATATTTTGAACAATGCCATCACTTGCCTGAAATCAGTGTTCTTCAAATCCCAAAAGTGTCTTTGCAGACCTTCACACTCATACTGGTGGTAGTGTATGCGCGCAGTTTCGCGACACTTGATCGAACAGAACACGACAATGTTGCATGTGGGGCAGCTGGAAACAATTAAGAACCCCCAATGGATACAAGCATTAAAAGAGAACCGAACCATGTCAAATTGCTCTCACCTATAAAAGAGGGACGGC